AAGCTAAGCCTGTCAACGAATTAATCAAAGCCAAGAGCGCAATTAAGCAGCCTTTCGTCCGCACAGGATGACGGAGGATTTGTAAAAAGCGACAACTTGTTAGTTCTATTAAAGTAATTAAGCGCCAGTTGTCAACGCTATTGGAAATAATGCCAATAAACATTCCCAGGCTTGGAAAATGGCAAAGAAAGCCACGGCCTGCTAGCATTCATAACTGCGTGTTCCTCTAATTGTTGCCGTTTTCCCAACAACAATTGCTACAGCAACAACAGCAACAGCAACAACAGCAATAGCAGCAGCAGCAGAGAAATATAAAATAAACTTGTCCATTGCCATTTTGACAACTGCAGAGCTGCAGGCGGGAGATTTCTTCATCTTTATTCACATGCAGCACTCATATGTGCGACAGCGATGCGATGATGCTGTTGCTGTTGCTTGTGCTGCTGCAGCAACAGCAATCAGAAGCGAAACCACAACCGCAACAGCAAGCACAGCAACAGCAACAACAACAGCAACAACAACTACAGGCAACACCAACAGGCAACACTAACAAGCGACTTTAGCCAAATTAAGTTGTCCAGTTTGCGGTGTACGCACAGCGGGCTGCAAATAACAATCTCCTGTTTACAGCGGCAACAGCAACAACTGCAACAACAACAGCAACAGTACACTAACAAACAACAGCAATCAAAATTGCAATGCAGCAATACGAGCACCATATTCAACAAAAAAAAAAAAAAAAAAAAAACAACAAATATATATATATGTGAAAAAAAAAACTACCATCGACCTAAAAAACGCGTTTAACTCATATTTCTTGCCAGTCTCTCCCTCTCTGTCTATGTCGCTTAGACTACCTTCGCTCCTACCTCTGTGCTCTATGTGCATTACTTATATAAATTGTCAATATTTGACACATTTACGTGCCAACAAAGACTGAAAAAAATGAAAGAATCAAAAAACATATATCTGAAAAATGTTGCCGATTCGAAGCTTTATCAGCCCAAAAGAAGTTCGCAAATAAACAAATTGAAACTCAAATACTCTATATCTTTAGATATATATA